TCTCACTTGGTCGAATCTAATTCAGAAGTACGAGGTCATTGTCAATTTGATAACAGCGATTTATAACTTGGAAATGAGGTCAGAAGACAAGCTTTCCGTGTGTAAATAAATAGTTTTTAGTAATAACTACAAAGAATGTTGACCGTTTATTTTGTAACATACCGCACGAGAATGTATCCACAATAAAAAGACATTCGCATGAGGACATCGACATTTACGTTACATTCATCATTGAGAAATACATAATACACCGTAAGACATAATCTAATGAGTATTAGAAGAGAAGCTTATGAGTTCAATATCAGTATTCTTCACGCGACACATTTCAAACAAATCCAAGCACAGTTATCCCAAAGGGAGAGAGAACAGACATGGAGGACATTTGCACCAAATGTTCCAATACATGATGAAATTCAAATAGATATTGGTGGCCATTCGTCTACAGGGACCACGTAACTACAATAAAGTAAATTGCTTATTATTTTTTTCGATCACACTACATGTTCCAATTAATCAACCGCTCAGGAGAGAAGGCAACACAGAACTTTCATTAGAATGCACAGAGACACACAGCACAGCTTGTCCAGTAAAAGGTGCTTTCTCAACCTCATTCATTTTTAGGGTATATATTTTTATCAATTTCAAGGGAATCGTGATTTTTCGAAGGCAGAATTCCACGTACTCGAAGGAAACTCTATGACATACAAAACAAGACGCCACCAGACATAATTGTTTTGTTACATGCAAAAAGCGAAATCGTATTAGAGAAAACGTACCGTGGGAAAGAGATTGTTGTGGATTTGGTTACATAGAAAAAATTGTAAATAATTGAAAATACATCAAATGCATTTTCAAAATTACGATTTCTCTGGATTAGATTTGCAAGTACTGGAGTATATCCTGATGACCTAATGAAACCCTTTTCAAAAGCAGAAACGGGTTACGTCGTTTCTCATTCATTTTGCGTCCAAATGTTTTTTTTATTGACGCATTATGGATTTTAACATTTACTCCAATCAAAACACAAGAGGAAAAAGTCAAAGAACCCGCTTGCTAGTACTTCCTGTTGAGTACATACTGGTCGCTTAATTGCAAAAGGCTGTAAATGAATCGTATACTGACCTGATTTTTTCCAAAGGGGGAAGAAAGAACAAAGTCCTTTAAACCTGGCCTGTTCTTTATTCATTCAAATATCTCAAGTTATGACCTTAATTGTCGGGGGGTTAGTTTGTTCCCCCTTCATTAACTCCAGAATTTATCTTGAAACGGGCATCTTATCATCCCATCGCTTTGGTGGTGAGCACTTACTGGATTAGGCATGGGACTTTATGTTCTCTTAAAGACTAGACTGTTGTCGAGGGCCGCGGTTCTCCGTCTGATTGTTGACACTGTGCGTTTCAAGTTCAACGTCAAGGTCAGGCCAGACACAAAGGGAGGAACTGCCATCGGATAAACCTTTGCCTTCGTCGAAAATTAATTTGAGATTAATCTCAAGACTTGCAGTCCCCAAATTGGAGTAACATTCGTATCTTCCGTTGTTTATCTTTTCTTTCTTTCACTCATTCATTCATCAACCGTTGCTTTGCCCGTAGAAATAAAAAGAAACACAGACGCACAGGCAATGTTGACCTTTGGCGCAACTGAGTTCGAGTCTTGCGTGGTGAACAGTCCCACAAAAGAGAAACCAATTTGTGTCCAGGATTAGAATTAATCCCGTTAAGTATGTGTTAATCGCCTAAACCGAGTATTGATTTCCTTAATGTTTTAACAAAATACAGACACGTTAAATGGCCAACTGCACAAGACTATTCGGTTGGTTATGAGACATCATGTGACGGCTCGAAAGCTTTGAAGTTCCTGGTATAATTCTGCCTTTTCACACATCGGTTAAAGGCAAATTAAAACATGAAACATTTAATTGCATCCGCTGAAATCGAACCTAAGTACTAATACGAGAAATACCCGTTAAACATGCGACGGTTTACCACATGCCTCTATTTTAAATATTGCATTTGGCTAAATGATCATTACGCTTTTACACGCCGAATGAAGTATGTATTTTGAACGATTCAGAATCTTTACCGCCAATTTTACACATTTTAATATATATATATTGAAGATTCAGAAAAATATCAATCACGTTGAATACTAAAGGTTAACTGTATAGTTTTATATTCTGATGCCTCAATTGAATGAGTTCATTATTATCGTATCTTTTGCACACACACACACACACACATAACGTCAGGCTTTCTGGAAGATAGCTAACTGAATTCTAAAGCAAGTGTGACAAATCTCACCGACTATCCTCTTCTACTAAAAGATCTGAGGAACAAAACAGTGAAGAAAATAGGGACTTGGTGTCTTTCTGCATGTAGGATGGGTTGGCCAGTTATTTCTTCCGTCACGAATATTTTCATGTGAATTGAAACTTCAAGTAGAGTATAGCAAAATGCATGCATGTTTAAATATTCACTAGCTTTTGTGTTTATGTTAGCCAATGATGGATGGAGCTACAGACAACAACAACAACAACAAAAAACACATTTTGTAACCAAAGTGGCGAATTATAAGGATTTATGAGATTGTGTATGTTTAGTTATACACCTTACTTGAAAAACTTGAGACGAATTCATATCCTTGCAGTTCTAAGATTATTGCTGAGCTATTTCTGAAATTCTGAAATAGCTGTGCAATTAGTACACAGTAGTACTACACAATAATTATCGCAGTGGAAATTCGTGATACATATTCACATCAAACAAAATGGTTTTGAAACCGTCCTTACAAGAAATAACCATTTCAAACGTTTCCAAGCATTTTCTATTGCAAGAATAGCTTAATATTAAGGCTAAATGTTCATCGATCTGGAAGTATTAGTATTAGATAATAATTGATTTCTATCACTCTAGTCGTAATCTTTTTTGCAGGATTACTGACATCTGAAACAAGGAACATAATGGGAATACAAATTGAGAAACATGCCGATTGATTTCAGGTCCTGGGCTGTGCTTTGCACACAGAAAATAATCCGACCATTACTTGCCAGTCAGTGATAATAGGTCAGTCAATCTTGTGCTATAGTTATATAACAACGTTACACAACGTCTGTTGTCGCTCCCGACCAAATGCTTAGAACAGATTCAATTAATTCAGACCCACGCGTTGGACTGAAGTATTTACTTTAAGTCGCATTGAATGCGTACGATTGCGAATACCTCCATGTGTTCAACAATTCTTGACATTTCTCACGACTGTCCTGAAATCAATTCTGACATCTCTAACATCTGGGAAAGATTGTAATGAGCTTATTTTTTTCCCTTAAAACCATTGATGATTTTCAAATATTTGTATTATCTATATATATATATATAAACGATATGTTTTGATTCTATAATAGTGGAAAGGTTAACGCTTATTTCCTCAGTTTAAGCTTTGTAAATAATCAAATTCAATTGACGAGTGAAAACCCTCCCCCCCCCCCACCCCACACAAAAAAAAATCTTTTAAAATGAGGGACTTTTACTAAATTTGTCACGTGCAGTGGTTCCTAAGGCAATGGTAACCAAGTAACTAGTAAAGGCAAACAACTCAATGGTTACCTAATGGTCACTTTGCTTCCATCTTGCCCCGTCGCTCTCTGCAGAAATTCTGGCTTTTTTCTTTACACAAAGACCGGTCCCCGGAAACACCAACAATGTGGTACCGATCGACATAACAGAAGATGGCGCACTTGGCCTGGACATGTCGGCAGTCTCCAAGAAAGACCCTGTGATGGGATTATCCATAAATTGCGAGAAGTCAAGGTCGCTGGCGAGCCCACACGTGACCGCCAAGGTCAAGGTCAAAGGCTTATCAGTGCCCTCAGATCTCTGGGCTTTCTAAACTCTCACCCCCACACCACCACCACCACCCCTCACACAAGGCCGGAGCAGGCCTAGACCAACACAAACCATTGCCAAGTACATTCACACTCATTTCTTCACTACTCCCCCCCACACGCACACCACACACACACACACACACACACATACAGTCGCATCAATACACACGTCTACACCAGCACACGTTTTAAAGTGGTTTTCTGAATCCCAGTTTGCTCATGTGCGCTGATACGGACACAGACACCGAGCTATGGTAAAAGAGGCCTCCACGTAGTCGGAGGGAAGTCACCACTCCTTTTAGTTCAGTTTCCCATTTAATTAATTCTACCCATCGATTGCTGGCATCAATAAGCGGCCACATACTTCACTCACTTGGTTCGTGCCTGTTAAATTGTGCCGGGGGTGAGGGGGGGTTTGGTGGTGGGGTTTGTTTGCCGACGACTATTTATTGGTCCTCAATTGTATAAACCAGACGCTATTAGAGGTGTGAAGTCCAGGCGGATTTAGCTCATTTTATGCCTGTGTTTAGCTCTGTAATGATATTTAATCACTTCCCCCCTTTTTGTGTCATCTACAAAAGAGAAAAACGCGACTTGTTCAGGACCCGCACAGCAGTTATTTTTCGCATACTTTTGTTTTACTCAGGGCGGAATCTTTTTGTTGTTGTTCAAAACACGTAGTTTATTGAATTTATCGTAATAGTTTAAAGCGAGGCTTTGAGAGTGCCGTTGAATCTGCTGCGACTTTATTTCGCCCCAAATTCTATTTGCCCGCAGTTTAAAACCCATTTATCATTGTAGATATGTTTTTTTTTAAAAAGGATCAGCATTGAACAATTATTTATATGTCAACAAGAGATGCAAGCAGTATTTTATCTATTTAAAACAGTTTTGCAGGGTTTCCAGCAATACATTTAAAATATATATATGGTGCATTTGTGAAGCAAAACAATTCACATCACAACGTGTCTCGGCGAGGGTAGGTCTCTTGTCCCTTTCATTAACGTGTTTGTTTTTGAAGAATAAAATCGTGATACGTATTTTACGTATCTTTGCAATTCACAACTTGCCACGAAAACTCTAACGTGGCATTTTAATAGGATATGAATGCCTGGAATCCATTCTGGTGCAAGTTCTGTAATTTTTCGACCAAATTAGTAGAGTCACAAGCGTATTCTTATTTTTGTTTCATTTATTACGTGAACCCCCACCCGCCCGGTGTAGTAGTTTCAAATAACGTTGATGCGATATATAATGCTGCCTTGTCTTTTATAGTGAACGGATTTTAATTCATTACCCAGACACAAAAAAATAAAAAGAGCAGCTACACCAATAAAACACACATTGCATACCGTCACTACACACAAAAAAAGCTGGTAATAAACTGCGGTGTTGGTATAGATACAGGTTCGTTATAGTTATATTTACATTTTGTCCATCTACTTAGTCCATTTAATGGCATTCATTCACAAATCCCCTGTTGCAGTACTAAAAATGAAAATAGAGGACGTGTTAGCATTTTGCAGACAAAGACTCGGCGAAAGACGTGTTTGCACTTTAAGCTTGTATTGTAGTATTTGGTAATTGTCTCTCTTTATACCTGCGTTAAGCGCCAACTGAACAGTACAGTACGGTTCATTTTCCTTCTCCAGATTTGTCTCCTACTTAAGTCGTGTTGCTCTTTACTTTGGCCACGATTTTCTTTTCCTTCACCCTCCTGTTCTGAAACCAGATGGTGATCTGTCGTTCGCTGAGATTCGTGGCTGCCGAGATCTTCCTTCTCTTGTCTTTTGTAATGAATTTGTTGGTTCCGTATTCCCTCTCCAGTTCTTTGAGTTGCACTTTTGTGTAAGGGATTCTTTTCTTCCTTCCACGGCGAAATGAACCACCGTCCTGTTGGTGACCCACCACATCTGCTGTGTGTAGATTAGCCACGCGAAAAAGAAACACACACACAATAAAAAAAACTTGCAGTGCAAAAATAATACTTTAATTTTTTTCAACAATATTTTGAGAGTTTATAAACACCCAAGGTTCAATATTTAAAGCAAAAATCAATTTGTACCACATGTGAATTTCCTGTTACAGCTACCACACTGATAATTACACTGCAAGCTCCCTCCCGCCCCCCACCCCCACCATCCCCCCCCCCCCAAAAAAAAATATTTTTTTTTCTAACGGAATTAATCTCATTGGAAACGCGCACAACTACGGATGGTAATCACTGCTGGTAACTACTCGTAACTAACTCAAAAAAAAATAGAACCGTTGAATGTGACTGCACAGGAAAAATTAAAATCGCCATATTGTCAGAAATCATTTCTGCTGCTGTTGATACCGATTTGTTCCAACACAAAAAGAAGGGAAAGCGTGCGCCGATCGGCGTCTGAGATCCCGTTTCTTTACTGCGAAATAACACAGAAGCCAAGTGATTCTTACCTGCCAATGTGGACTTCCAGAGGTGAGGCGGCTGTGCTTGTTCTTTACAGTACATCTGGCTGTTCCATCCATTGAGGGCCCAAGGCTGGTAGCTGTCCATAGGTAACAAAGCCTCGTGCCTCGGTTCTCCTGCCCCACTGATGGTCTGCACTACCGAAACGTCCAAATAACTTGGCATGGGCTGGTACGGGCCAGCGTAGCCGTGATAAAAGGCGAATTCCTTAGCCCGACCCGGATAATCATCGGTGGGCACTGGAGTGTCCATATATTTGTCCCCCGGATAATTCGACAAGGCGGCAGGCTGGGTGCAAGACTTAATGGGACCTCGACCCATTCGGCACGAGTAGTAACCGCTGCCGAAATATCCGTAGGGCAATGGGGCGGCGGGAGAGCCCTGGGGAAGGGGCGGGCACGGGGCACATTGCTTACCGGGCTCCCCTACCCCAGAACCGGACATGTCGACCGTGGAGTAACCGGAGCCATGAACCAAAGGTGCGGGGTGTCCTCCGAGCGCCGAGTGAGCCATCAGATTCCTGCATTGATTCGCGGAGAAATTCCCAGTGTTGACGAATCCCTCCATTACCGCGCTACTCTTCTTAATCTCATTCAAGTTATTATCATACACGAACATCACAGAGTCGACCCAACGCGGCTTGAGAACCAGTGAAACTGTCATATCACGTCCAGCATTGGATCTATGGTTTCTTTTAAGAGACTGTAGACTGGAAAGCGATACAGAATTTCTTGCAGCGAACAGCACTGACGCACTCACCAGGTTAAAGCAACGCGGTCCCTCACTGGCTCCCCGGGAGTTCACGTGATATGCAAAGCACTTAATAAACCCCAAATACAGAATTGCAAAAGAGTGAGAAAAAAGGGTTTCATTACCACCGAGAAATCCCTCGGCGGCACGTGTTCATTAGAGCGAATCGCACTGAGGAACTATGTCAAACAACAGGCAACGATATATCAATTAAACGCACGCATTAAATGAACCTCAGGCGCGCATGTTCCTGCCTGGACAATGTCCGTGTGTACAATCGATTCTTTATCTGATTGAGTTCACAAAGACTTGTTTCCACCGTTGGACATCAATTGAGTTCGCATTTACGTTCTTTTTCAAAGTGCGGAACCTTAACGACTATTATCTATTTTCCCCATCGCTACTTAGTTGGTTTGAGCTGCAGTTTCGGGCTCTTTTCTTCAGACAGGTCGTTAACGCGAAAAGTAAAACCACAAGCAGAGGCTTTAGGTGAAAGAACACATGTTAGAAACACGCGCACACACACACACACACACACACACACAACAATAACCCAAAAGAGGAGACCTGCAGGTAAATAGGTTATTTTGTCTGTGTTTGAGCTGTCATGTTTTTATTGACTATTTCTACCAGTCCTTGCCATCACCTTCGTTAAAAGTGTTAAAAAGTTTTGTTGCGGCTCAAAAGACACCTCGAGGGATGATGAAATAATCATTTTCCACAAATATTGAAATGCGCCAGAGTGTTTCCCAGGAGCGCGACAGCCAACTGCATTCTGAACTGACCGCATCGCTTCTTCCTAAATGTCTGAACAGTGGCTAAGCTGCACTGCACTCCGTCAAACAATCCTCTTCTAAGATATGTTCGACATATTCACAAAATAATGCACATTTGTCAAACACCTCGAGCGCACAAAGAGATCCTGTACTTGTGACCTCGTCGATGTGTTACTTTTTCACGTATGTTCTATGTAATTTACAATATATTATACTTATAAGGAAATCTGTACTGTATAAATTATACATCTCAACACTATTGTGATTTTCCTGTGATATTTATACCTCCGGTTACACCAGTGAACTTTCATTACGTTGTCAACAAACCCATTTTACTCAATAAAGTCTTAGTAATTGACAGAGAGATTTATATCATGTTTTGATGTCGTACTATAATTATATTAAAGTCGTGTTAGCTTTTACTCTACAATTTTTAACAGGGTTATCCTAACAGTCCTTTACACACACAAAATGGATTTCTTTCTATTTTCCTGCCTGGTATACATTTCTAAATTGGGTGCATTTCTCTTTTTAATTGGATTGAGTCACGTTGGAGTAATTAGTTCAGTAGCCATTTCTTTCCTCAACTATGCCCAACTGCGTGGCTATTCGACTGATTACTTTCATACATTTTGATTTAACTGTAGTTCACATATGTGGTTGCGATTATTATAATATAAAATATATCAAAATTGCAGATTCGAAATGCACCATCTTTGAATCCAATATTTTATCGCCGCTCCTTTATCAGAAACTAAAGTGAATAGCTCTAAATTTCTGCGGTCTGCGTATATGCACACTGTTATGTGACTACACTGTCCTTCAATGTTAATTGACTTAATTACCAAATTAATTTAAATCCAAGCACGGAGATTTTGACTGAATATTGGTAATTTCTTAAATTTTTTAAAGATATTATGGAATTGGTTCGTATGAAACGTTGCTACAGCTTGTAACACAAGATATTATAAACCGCCTGTTCACTCCAAACTGATTGTTGTGGTGGAAGAGTATAAGACACTATTAATTTTGAAATTGTACTTAAATATACTTATTATTCTTTCATAATGCCTGGAGATTATCCTGCTTTTAGCGTATCGCAGAGTGAATCCGTTAGTATGAAATATACATTTTGAATAATCCGTATGGGTTTAAATGGCATAGAACATCTTGGCAGAATAAACGAGTACTTTATTGACGACTTTTCAGCAATGTGCGGTACTTATGCAAACGTTATATAATGAGAGCATCGAATAAAGACACATCGTAAGATGCAAAGGTGGTGACTTTTGGAAAGAATGCTGCTTCAGATTGAATAGGAAAGATAGAAGAGAGTATAATCTGACAATTTTACATTTTGCAACTGAACTCGGACAGTCAGTTGGCTCAGTAGCGTTGAGTAAGTTAAGATGCTGAGGCAATATTTTACATGTGTAAATGCACCAATTCCACAAACCCAAGGACGAGTGCACAAATTACATGCCTCTTCTTAATTGTTAAATGTAAAGCAATTAAAAATGTCCAGTCCTATTTATTTTTCCAATTGCTACACAAAACCGTGCTGCCTAATGGATTTTCCATTAAGACCACCCCAATAAATTGATGCATGTACATTAACATGCCAATAACACTACATGGGAAAGATTACGACTGGAAATAAACTACTGAAGTGGGATATTTGAAATATATATTATATTATTTAAAACCATGAGCAAAGTATGAAGCGAAATTTCACGAAAGTACCCTTCATAAGGCTGTGCACGTATATCCTGAAATAATTATTTTATTTACAGCAAGCTCTAACTCTGTCGCTGTTAAGTGCTTTAAGACGTTTGAGATGATCCAGTACCTTGAATATTTCAGGGTATCTCATTGTGTTATTGTTTATCATGAAAAATTGAGAAAAATACCAAATCAGACTTACTCCGAACTGGGCTGTGCCACTGAACTGCTTTTATTTATTAAATAGGCTTATCGAACAAATCCCAAGTAAAATGTTCAGTGTGGTTTAATAACTCTGAATAATTCCACACGCCATTCAGTTGGCCTACTCCTTACCATTGCAGTGTAGGAGGTCCAGAGGACCCTGGTGGGTCACCTTTTTAGCTGTTATTGTTTGCTTTTTTTTATTTTTTCCAAGTTACGCATTGAATATCCGCTAATATAATATGTTTATTTCCACTCCCCATTAATGATTAATGGTAATCAATCATTGCTGTGGACACGGACAGTTCAAGTATAAAATTTAGGACTGTGTTTAGATTGCCAGTGGAATTTTGATGGAAGTGTTCATGGTGTGGGATGGGAGGGGGTGGGGGGGGGGGGCGGGGGGGTGGGGGCTTATGCGGGAGTTAGGCCGAACTTGAGACAGAGGCAATTTAAGACGGAGTGGCCTTTTTTACATACGGTTCAGACACGGCTGAAGGCCAAGGTCAAGGTGAAAGTTAAGAGTCTAGTCACTATGAGGGCTGTCATTCAAGTCCTTTTGCGTCCCGTCTGAACCGCATCAAAACAAAACCCCTTATCGCTTCAGTGATTCTTTTCTTCGCTCAGACAACGACTCGGAAGCCAATAATGACCAGCTTGCTGGATTCGCGGGCCGGTGTGAGACACACTGATAAAACAACCCTTTTTTTAAAAAAAAACAGCTTACAGATAATCGTATTAAACCCGTGGTTTGACCATGACACTGGGTATCAGCGGTTCAGCGTTTGCAACTCCCAAAATATAAAATCTCGCGAATAAGACCTTTATTCGCAATGTGGTTTCTTGCCCCCCCTCCAACTGCAAAAAAAATTAAAGAAAATTCATTCGGGCCCATACAGTTTGAGAATTTTATTGCAGGTACAATATTATTGGCACTTTATAGCTGCCTCTAAATGTGTTTCACACCAATCTGCCGACGAGACATAGCTGAGCCAATACATCAGCCTGAATGAAGCATTTTCTGTTAAAACCTCAAGATATGAAACCTAGGACAGAAGGAAGAGAGAGAGGGAGAGAGAGAGAGAGAGAGAGCACTGATCGTTTCAGTCATTCATTCAGGTACTGCCGATATTTTAATGCATCCTTACTTTTATTTTTGCGTGTGATGCATGTACAGTCCTGGTGTACGTCTGTGCACTGCCAATGGCATGAGACATTTGCGAATGTCTTGGTTTGTGCAAAGGAGTATATTTTTGCATGCTAGCTCCTTGCCAATTAATTGTTGAATCAATTGTTGGACTATCTTTCGGACCATACGGATATGTGTGTTAACAACAACTAACTAATGCGTGTGAGGTGAAACTGCTCAACGTGTAAACTTGATTTTCCCCAATGTTGCCTGAGAAGCTGGATCATGGCATTTTGCAATTGAAACTCAGAAGGGTTAACAACGTGCTGGAGAAATGAAAGCCCTTTTTTTCCCTTTTATAAATCATCCCGCATAACGCCGAATCATTCTTAAAATGCAGTTAATGACGAAATCTGGGAATGATCATCCAGTAGAAATTGGCTTTTTTTCTTTTTTAAAAAAAGATTTATTTATATGCAGAAAGCTTCTATGTGCTTCGTGCTATAAATCCCGGCCTAAAGCCAGTTAATAGGCCCAGTACTGTACATCATTTAGATTGGAGTGGGCCACATTGATATCTGTCCTTCATCCCTTTGCCGTTTTTGTCACGAAGTGAGTTTTAATGTCTGATTTCAAATTCAGAAAACCTACCCGAACGCTCACCACAGACGACCCAGTTATACAACATGAGAAAAATATTTGTTTCCATAAATAGAAATAGCGTCCCTTCCCTTCCCCCATCGTCTACTGCCGATGTTTAGCAGTTCTTTTGACTGGACGGTTAGATTTATCGAAATATATATTTTTTTTTTACGAAATCGAAAGCATCGGGTATCGAAAGCTGTTCGTAAAAAAAAATATTCCCAGGAAGAAAAGTAAAAAAAAAAGACAGCCGATTTATAATCCATTCGATGCCTCGTCGTGTGTTGACTTTAATGAGAATCTACAGAACCTTCACTGTTTCGTTATATTCTGCTGTCTGGTAATGGAGCTCTTTGTGCTCAATTGCTCCTGTAAATGATTTTGTTTCCTTCAGCAAACATAGAGGCTTTGTCCTACTTTTGGACTCGGTAGAAAAGCTGCTCATT